TTCTTACTATCCATCCCCACTACGTTCAGGCCACGCCCACAGAGGACTTTCTATAATTGTCAAACTATAGATACTCTCGAGCGGCGAATGATATGGCTCACTGAATAGCTAGGCGATTCTACGTTTTATCTCGCAGGTTCATTCTAATTCTCACTATCCATCCCCACTCCAGGCCACGCACCCGGAGGACTTTTCTAACCAGTCAAACTATGCACGTTCCAAAGCACCAAGTAAAATAAAAAAGCAACATCCATCTCCTATTAAAATTCCCTACAAAGAAATTGAAGTAGCCACCCTTCGAGCAGCAACGCGTCAGTACACCCCCTTCCGTGTTTTTAATTAACAACAATACCGCGTCGGAAGGAAACTTGGCTGCCAACGATCCGTTAAGACAGTTCGTCGCGAATCATCAGCCCCGAAGAATTTCATAGGGAATGATTCTGCGCGCGGCACTCGACGCTGCGCATTCAGGGACGACCGGGGGCGGGAGGTGGGGGTGCGGAAACAAAAAAACCCCGTTCGTTGCGCCGTCACGGCGGCCCCCCGGGGGGAGGACGCAGGGTTCAAGGGGTGATTATAAATCCTCGAGGATGAGGCAGGGGTGGGATGACACCGATAGTCGAACGTCAAAGGCTGAATTTTCATTCTGTCTGAACGTCGATCATCGATGAAGCGACATCTCCTGCTCGATGAGCAACCTAGACGTCCCATAATTATGGCGAAATTATACGGGACCTTTGACTCTACTTCAAACCTTCTTTTTCTACAACCCGCACGAGCACCCTCGTGGGACGATTTGAGGAGAATTTCAGAACGGGGGAATTGGGGGGTCCGCGCCCCAATTGCTAGGATTCGTGCTTGCTCATCTCTGACAGTTGTCGGAGCTACTAATTGGGGATTGATTCTAAATACTTTCGGGGGTGAGCATTTAAATAGAGTAAGATTTTTTGAACAATTTCAGTAATTTATTTCTGTGTTTATTTATTACTTTCCTACCATTGTTTATTAATTTAACGATATGGGATTTTGACGCAATGTATTATTATCATTGTTATTATTGCTGTTTACGTTGAAAATAGGTGCACATGAAATAATTCTGACCCGAAAATTAGGTGAACTGATAGCCACCAGTGATAAATATCAATATTTACTGGCTGCGGGGATTACCATAGCACATGGGAATCGGATATACGTAAACGTGCAATAATCAACAATCGGATTGCCGCAATAAGGGACAAATATTTCGTTATCGACGAACGAAACAGTTAATTACCAATTATAATACGAGGTGGAAATCCATTTAATATTGTTATTGTACGTATCAGCTATTCAATGGTGGTACGCGTGTCAACATCGACATGCAAAGCGAGGATAGCATCGACCTCAATGTTTCCTAAATAGAAACAGTATTTTCCCGATTAATTTCTATGATATATTTCAATTAAAAATACTAGAATTATTATTAATCTTTGAATGCGGAATGCATACAGGGTACCGTGATAATTAATGACGTCGCCAGTGGACATGGTCCCACAAGCAGATTGATTGTGTCAGTACTTCGTAGCGACCGTTCCGGAGTGCTCGGTGATATATGACGTGACGATGAACCGTGTCGAAGCAAGCAGTGGCTATCCTCCTTTTTTTCCCCAGAAAACTTTCTTTTTAAGCGGCATGACGAATCGACTCGACACACTCGAGTGGTGTTACGTGTCGTGACTCGACCCGCTTTGTTAAAAAGTTGACGAAATAATGCGACGTACGACGGTGGACCCTGACGTGCGACCATCCCATGTCGAATTTACCAGATGGCCACGAGTTATTTAATTATTCTGCTTTCACATAATAATTCCTGATCATTCGTGATGAATTTAAATTTACTTCTATTCTATTTATTCAATCTCTATTTTGTTCATCTGTCTCATCTCTTGTTATTCTTGCTAGGTTGTTTGATTCTTTATCTGCAGCCACCTAGTGACAAATATTTTATTCATTTTTTAAGTTAGGTTCTTCGCGCAACTATTCTTTGACGTCAGACGTTCATTGCCGCGATTAATTACAAACAAAAAATTAATGCAACAACGAAGAACGGAAAACGAAGCAGCAGAGGACTTGAAAATTAAATTTTCGAAGACCCTGGAAGAACCAAAAGCGAACCATAATAATGTTCTAAAACATTCTAGTCTAAAAAAAGAAAAAAAGAAAAAAACTACGAGGCCTGAGTCGACAGAAGTCAACCTCCACGCCACAAAGGCGCCCTTTATGCGCCAGTTACTGGCTGTAGCGGCGATATAAAATTCAAAGCCGCCAAGTGGCACCCTTCATGCTAACGACAGCGCCGCCCCTGAGCATCAGTATGCTAATCCGATGATTGGCTATGTTCCAACCCCGCTACTTCCCTCTGCCCCCTCTCGCGGCACCATCTCCCGTTCCTCTGCGGCTTCCTGATGGGATCCGGCCACCCTTAACCGAAACCATAAGCCAAAACTAACCCTTATTCTAATTAGGCGGCGCCACGACGCGCCCCCTGCTTTGCATATTTTCTCGATTAACCTCGCCCTTTCTTTATCCGGCCGTCGCTTCAATTTCCGCGGAATTTTCTCGGACCCTGCCTCCTCCCCCGTCCCCCCCACCCCCCACCCACTCACCCACATCATTTATCTAAGGTGGTGTCTCCAACCCCAAAAACGGCTTAGTGAATTATTTGAATAGAGAATATTGTTATAGTAATATTGTTATAGTGCTATAGCACTTATGGTGCTTTGATCTGTGAGCTAATTGTAGGTCAGAAGAATTTTCTCGAACCCAGCCCTACCCCCTTTCTCAGCTTTCATCTAAGGTACTGTCCCATCCCCAAAAAAAGGACCCAGCGAATTCTGCGCGGAATATTTGTAGTCTGGAAAAATAGTGGAGTTATTTTCCCCATTTTATACATACATTACATATCGTTACAGTAACCCTAATATAGCACTCGTGGTGCTTTAACCTGCGTGCTGAAATTGTAGGTAGATCACCAAACTCCCGATCCGCCAGGAGAATCACCTTTCAGCCAAGAGGATAGTTGACCGAAGGCACTCGCTCGCGAGGATACAACCCAAAATCACCCGGCTAAACGATCGGAAAGCGTCCCCAAACGAATTCCCGCCAACCCCCCTTCACTTAGATGTCTTCACGAATCGCAGTCACCGCACCTGAAATATCCACTAATGCCGTACGCGAGTAGGCAAATTGGCAGAGCTTACATGGGCTTTGGGTCGCCGATGAGTGCGTATAACGAGGATTAGCAACGTTAACGAGGGCGGCACGAGACCTATGCATAGCAACTTAACCTCGTCAGAATCCACTCGAGTCACGGGTCCCCCCCCTCCCCCCTCCCCCCTGCCACTCCCCGCGAACGCGACCAATGAAATTGAAATGGGTCTCTCGATGCGGCGGCGAACCCTCGCTGACATAAGCTCATAAACCCGCGATATTGAATACAAATGGACGATGCTCGCGGCCGCTCGGGGTGCAAATGAGCCCCGTGAAACCAACCCCAGGCCCTGGGGGCTGACCCTGAGGTCGATACGTCGACCTTAATAGCGCGGATCGAGGGGAGAGACCCCCAAAATGCTCCGCGATCAATTAGGTCGACCTCGAAGACATGCCTGCGAATTGGTTTTTGTTTCATAGGGGTGGCCGGGAAAGGGGTTTCCACGGCTTTCGGGATTCTGCCTGTATGGGTCCTGTTGTGGGAACTTGGGTAGGTTTGGGTTTTTTTTTTTTTTTTTTTTTTTTTCCATGGAAGTATTTCGATAGTATTTTAATTGATAGTACTCTTGTCGGTGTTGTTCTTCTGACAAAGAAGTTTTTAAAGCCGCCATGAAAAAAGGAATGGTACTAGTTATCCCTCACGTGACCGTCACATGATCGTCATGTGACCGTCACGTGAGGGTCACGTGGCTATCATTTGCGACAGAGAAATCGCAAACCTTTTTCATGGGGGCTCTTTACGTGGTTTTGTGTTTGACAAAGTTTTGAAAGCGATACTCACTTTTTCTCCCGCTTCCCCGCGCCCGTGTCCCGGAATCCTTTCGCGAACGGGTTGTTGTCGATTTTCAGCTGGGTGATCTGCAACATAAACAAATTTCAATGAATGTCAATAATCGTCACGAGTCAATGCAACCTCGATCTAACCTCTTCAAAAAATTACAAGAAATCCAGCATTTTATATATTTTCCCAAACTTGAATCCTTGAAGATCGGTTAATTGAACAGTTAAACGTTAATTTAGTTTTAACATTTGTTTTAAAGTGAGTGATTTACACAACTATGCAATATTGAATTTGGCGCGTTAGCTAATTTAATATAATACCGCCGATGGGAGCCACTACGATACGTAACACAACAATAGTTTAACTGTAATTCTGCACCACCATTTTGCCCCGAATCCTACGATATGTATTACTTAATTATAACATCTTAATTCCAAGATGGAAGCCATTTTATGGGCCAAGTTACGATGAAACGACGGTGCCACGAATCGAGCTGACTTTCGATTACACGAAACGCAGAAGGCGTTAGCCGGCTCAAAAAGATCCACAGAAACGAGATCCTTCTTCCGGTCGCAGATACCGAGAAGGAGCGGCGATAACGAAGGGCGAGTGGGGAGGGAATCGCACGACGAAAAATCCAGACAAGGGGCCCCTTTTGAGCGCATGCAACATCAAAAATAATGCGTACCGGGAACCACGGTGGTTCCCCGAACCCTTTTGGCCCCATCGACGAAGGGGGATTTTAATTAACGCGACCGACAAAAAAGGAAACCGTTCGTTTGTCCTCGTTTCTCGCCAAACATGGCCGCCCTCAAAATTTCACAAATCGTTTCTCGAACATCTCTTGTTTCTGTTTTTAATCATTATTTACCTAACCGTTATTTTTATTCGAGGTTACTGTTCCGTAAACAAACGGTTGCGACTGAAATGATACTACAACGGCTGTTCGCAATTAACGTAATTAATCAGTTGCTATGTCCAGCTAAACTTGGGTAATTAACGATGGTAATGACTCGATAATTAACAAGCTGCCAGTGAAAAAATAGGTAAACTTGTTACACTCCACACCTTCCTGGGCGAATAATGGAACGAGACATTGATTAACATAAGTACACTCTCGACGATTCTACGCGTTGTAACACTATTTAATATTCAACAGTTCGATGCACTCTAGTGGTGCAATTAATAACATAAAACACCTCGAGGTACACGCGTCTGTGTGGCAACGAGAGATGCAGATAACAATACCAGTTTAGAAACTTTTCCTGTGTTTGTAAAATGTCCAAAAATAAAATCATGGATTCGAATTGGTCCATTTTCCAGCTGTATGATTAATAACCTAACTTAACCCCTCTCTATCTATCAGTTAATTAGAGAATAGGAACGTTCACTCACCTTTTCGTTCTGATAAGCGGTCACCGCGATGAATTCCGTTTCCTTGAAAACGTAACTCCTGAACGTCGAGTAGGCGAGCTGCGAGATGTGATTGGCCCTCGCCAGGTGAAACCTCGGTTGGTACTTGTGCATCGAGTTCAATATCGTCTGAAAAAATCAGGCGAGCATATATTGGGACAGACTGCTTCACGGGCGGAGCTCATCCTCGCAATTTCTCCTCTATCTTCTCTTTTCGGGAAATCAACTGGCTGTTAGTCACGATTCGATGACATCAGGGCTGCCATATTGGCGACACTGTGCTCGTCAAACTCGAGTAATTTACGTAACGTAACGTCACTGTACTGGCAACACTGTTACTGTGCAAATTTGTAGACTTTCCAACTTCCAAATCTAGCTTGACGTTACGAACATTAAGATTTCAAAAATTTATCAATATTTTTCACACCGAAAGAAGAACATACGAGGTTATTCTCTTGTTAGTGCCTTAAGTAACGAAATTGAGAGTTAAGGATAGAGTTTCTAAACCTCTAAAGATCATTACAGATTAGAAAATTATGCAATGTATTTTTGTTACACTAAAGAAACTCGATAATTTGTTAACACTCGCAGCCATAGTCGATGTTACTTGCAAATTACTTCAGCGTCGGCCCACAATGAATACATCGCTAGAATGGATGCTGATACATCCCCAGGCGTATTCAATCGACTCCCATGCGAATAAAAGCTGCGCAAGGTGTCGCGAACGTAGAGCAGAAAAATGTCTAGCGGTCAGCTAATGTATTATGCATCGTGGGCCGCTGTTAACAAGCCAAGCTTGACGAAAAAGACCACGAGAAGAGAAGCAAAGGCAGAAGAGATGCGAACTCTAGTACGAGTTTATCGTGCTCGTGGCATCCCCGGAAAGCGCAGTATGGATCGAGGCAATTATTTCGCGTAGTGGCATAATTGGTGCCCAGGTTACGTCACTCGCCTCTCGAGCTCGTAAACTCTTACTAAACTTCGTCTTTCTTTTCGCTTTTAATATCTCTGCGCGACGATGACGATTCGCGGTTATCTTGGGAAATCACCCGTTTCTCCATTTTTGAGGTTATCTTCCCGTACATCGGAGAATCACCCGCTCCCCTTTTGAAGTTGTATTCCTAAAATTAGAGATTCCCCAGTTTTGTAATACTCGAACTGTAAACTGTTCATTTATTTTAGATTATCTTGATCACTCCACCAATTCTGAGGTTATATTCCCAAAAGTAGAAATTCCCCAGCTTTGAAATATTCAAACTCTAAACTAACCCTTTTCTTTAACCTTAACTTATCTTGATCACTCCCTCAATTTTGAGGTTATCTTCGCAACACTTTAACCCCTTTCTTTAATTTTCAGGTTCCCTTGACAATTCCGGAGCCGTTTGTCCAGTATCAAATCCTTCAATTTCAAGATTCAAGTCCGCTTTGCTTCCAAGTTGCGAATCGGTTAATCAAAGTCAAACGCAAGGGTTCGGTAAAAGGTATATACGCAGGATTCTTTCAAAGAGGCCACGCCGGCGTAGGTGGCCGCAATCTTCGTTTTTAATGGCGAACACTTTGAGAGCGGCCCAAGGAAAACAAAACGATTGATTCGCTTTTAGTCTTCCGCGCGATGCAAATGCACCGGTGCAGTAGCAGCTCGCAAGATTGCGCGGGACATTCCATCGAGCAATGGATGTGCCTTCGCTGGCTACTCGATAAATCTACATTCCGCCGTGGAATTACGGTAATTACGCGGCGGAATTTTCGTAATGGGGAAGCCCTGACTCGTCGCCATCGTGGCAAACAATCTGCAAATAATTTTGCTCTTCGACGGGTCAACCAAACTGGGCAGTAGAAGTGAAAAGAAAAAGACGCATACCCTGTCCGAAGAGAGTCACCTGACACCTCTTGATTCGCTACGCTTTCCCCAAATGGGTGAGACCCGAGCAACACGAGGAATGTCAAGAATAAGTAGCGGAAGCTAGCATCCTGAAGGCTCCAGGACTTAGGTGTTATAGCCAATGGCCACCCTTAACAAATAAACGAGCATGACTCCGAGACAGCTTATCCTCACCTACTCCCTCCTAGGGCCAAGAAGTCACGACCCTGAATCATCTCACGAAGACAGTCGATCGACTGCGTACTCGAAACAAAGGATCGCGGAAAGACTGGGGCAACCGCGGAAACCAAAGTCCTCGAAAACACGCTCGTGCGGAGGTCTGGGGCGAACGAGAGGCAGAGAAAGAGGGCAAAGGTCCGTGGGGCCGCGATAACGCCGAGCAAAGAGAGAAACGGTGTCCAATCCGCGCCCCCGGTGGATCCCTCTCGATCTGGCAATAAATAAAACGCAGACAAACGCAGTCGGCGGTCGTACGTGGAAATCGCGATCGTACGGGAGAAGCTGCCGGCCCGCGGCGGTCGCCATTATGCGCGGCTCCGCACAAAGGAGAAATAATTAGCGCTGCTCGACTGATAAGCCGGCCAATCTAGGCGTTTGTCATTAGCCTATCAAAGCCGAATGCCTCTCTGTCTGCGCGCGCGCGCGCGCTATCCCCTTTCTCCTGGACTTTCGGCCTCGACACGCCTCCGGCGCCGTGGAAAATATGTGGAAAGACGATCGGAGCAATTAGTACTTCTCCGGAGCCTAATCGGAGCCTGCTCCACCGCGACAAACGCTGGGTGGACCGGGGATTTCTCGTTGTCTACTTACGACGTCCCATCACAGGGGACATCCGAGTACAAAGGATTAGTAAAGACAAGAACAAACCATCCCCACACGATGAATATTCCATTCGACGCGAAAAATATTCGACCAGTCCCCCTCAAGACCCCCCTCCAACGAATTCCATCTCGCGGTAAGCAAAAGGAATCCGATCTGCTGACCGACGAAACTTGAAAGCCCCCCAATCCGGAGTCGCTCGGTATCTCCGGTGTTCGTTTCATCCTCCACGGTTCCATTCTCAGGCGATGCGGAGAGGAGACGCGCGTCGGAACGCCGGGCGATCGGCGGGAAACGAGGTAGAAGCGTGTGCAGCTTCGTGATTCGAAGTAGGTGGGCCCCAGGTAGCCAGGACAGATAACACCCGGAGATTACCGCGGACAGAGTCATTAGCAGCGTCGGCTTCTGTGTCGGCCAGGATATTCTCTCACTTTCCTCCATCCCCTCTCTCCGCTGACCCCCTCTTGCCTCCCCTACCATCCTTCTCTCCCCCCACTGTCCCTCTACCCTGTTATCTGCACGGTCAATTCACGCGGCACGATACGTATATATGCGCTGCTGAAGTCGTTTCGGCGCCTGGCTCTCTCGATTTCCGCCGACCACTCGGAGTTCCTTAGTTCTTGACTTTGCGACGTTCGAACGTTCTTGAAAGTTGTAGGGCGGTGGGGTTGTTTCGTGGGAAATCGATCGACTTTGTAGCAGACATCAGGGTTCTTTCGAATCGAGTCCTTTTCAAAAGGAATTTTAGTCATCGTTGATCCGAGAATGTAGATTCTTGAATTTGGAAGGTTAGAAAGATTCTTTGGAACCGAATCTTTATTTCTGGAATCGCTGAGGCTACGAAGAAGCGTCTTTCGAGGGATTTTAGTCGCGAAGAATTCTCATTTCAAATTAATTTGCCGCCTCGACGCTGAACCAGACTCCTAAATCTGACGAGTCGTCTCGAGGGCGGGAAATTTGAATCGCGGAAATCCGAATCGAGGAAGGTTCGAAGCTCCGGGAGGGGGGGGGGGGAGGGGGAGGGGGCTCAAGTTCACTGCGGACAAAGCGGGACGGCGAGAAACCGCGGTAAGAAACGCGGAACAGCCCTTATTAAAGCGAAACCGACGAAAGAAGTTCAGGCAGCTCGCGAGAAAAACGAAAGGGAGAACGAAACGTAAAAAGAGGGAAAGAAGGAAGCACTCCGGTGGGTTTCAGAGGCTGTGTGCACCGCAAACTAACCGCGCACAGTTGCCTTATGTACGGAGTCTAAGTAATCCTCGAACCATCAGCTAACTTCTTAACCCTCAAAGTGAAAAGGGCCGCCTCGAGGTGGCGGCCAGGGGGCGCGGCGGGACGAAGGGAGCAGGGGGAGGGAAGGAGAGCTCTTCTTTGTCTCCTGTTTGTTCGCCGGCTGGCTTCTTTCGTCGAGCGCGAGTTTCCGCGCGGAAAAGGAGTCGATGACGTCGACCTGGAGCCCGGCAAACCCCTTCGCGGCCGAGAGACTTGTTTGCCCTTCTGTACGATCAGTTGGCCAAACAACTCGCTTAGAACGAACCTCGCGATGGGATGCGCGTGCACGGAGGAATTCCGAGCGCCATGGAATTCCTTTGCGCTCGATTCGGTCGTCTTCGACGCTGGTCGGTTGCTCGATCGAGAACGGAGACTACCCTCGCGAATTTTCTAGTCGAGCGGTTCAAATATTCGTATACTTTATCATTCGCGTGTCCATTTCTCTGTTACTTATAAAAAAAAATTTCTTGACCAGACGAATACTCAAGTATTTGAATATGCGAGTCTTAAGGACTATAAACCATGCTCTTCAAGGACTTCGCGTAGAGTCTACCTGGTACTCCCAAATTAACATCTCGAGAACAAACATCGGCCCAGTTATTCCTGAGTCCCTGAGGAATAAAAGCAAAAACAGCAATGGCCTGCGGAGCGCACGGTACTCCTCGCAACCCTCGACACCTTTATCGAGCTCCCATCGCGTTTTATCGGCAACCATCCGGGGAAGGGCCATCAGAAATTAGGCCGAAGGAAGGAAGGCGAAGAACATCGTTGGAAGCAGTTCCTCCCGGTCGTTCGTGCATCGACTCGCGTTCCCATTGGTCGGCCCGCTCACGTGCCAGTCAGCCATAATGCCGTGAACCGGATGATGGAAAAGCCACCCTCGATTCGGGCCAATTAGCTTCCGGCCGAGTAAGTGGCAGAGAAACCCCGGAGGATCCATTTCTTTCCCTCTCTTCTGCTTACTTCTTCTTCATCGTCGTGCTCGTCCTTCGTCGGATCTGACGATGCTCGCGATTCTGGCCAACGAAACGACTTACGGTCGTCGTGGAAATTAATATCCCTTGAGGAAATTGAAGACGTTCGAGTTTTACTTTGGAATTTTAATTTAGGTTTCAAGATTCGTTAAAAGACAAACTAAACGTGTGACAAAAAGAGAAAAAACTATAACTAGAAGCAAATAAGATTCTCGAAACCTTATTCTCACAAAAGATCTAATTCAATCATGGCTTTTACGATCAAAGGATATTTTTGCACAAAATACACTCTTTTTCTTCAGAAATTCACGGGCATTCCGAACTTTCAAAGAGCAGCGTACTTTTTATCGCTTCTGTACTGTCGGAAATGTGATTTTCTATGCGTGATGTCATCGATACAGCAACGCCTGTAATTGGTTCGGAGAAGACTCGCGAAGAGACGCCACTGCGCTCCCACGCGCCGCTTCGGCGAACTTAGATCCGATCCGGGGATTAATTGGATTCCGGGGAATCGGTTGGCCAGCTAGTGTCAAAGTTTGTTAGACCCGATAAACGGTCGCTTCCGAGTAGTTGTGCTGTTTCTATTCAGCCGAGATTGCCACGACATTCGCGTGAGAGTGTCGGGACCTGTGATTTTGACTTTGTTGATGACGACGACGTTTGCCGAATTCGCCTTCTTTGTTCGACATTTACGATTCCAAGTACGCCGATCCCGGAAACTTCGCTTTGATCTTTTACGCGGCCAATTCTAACGCTTCCTGCCTTCGTCGAAAATAGATCGAACTAGTAAATAACAGTGTAACGTGAATAAGAATGAAAGCGGAATGAAAGGTTAAGCATCCAATAAAAATGGATAAATGGAACAAATGAAACACCGTCAACAAGATTAAAAGCGAAATATTTCCAAAATGAAAGGTTGACTACACGGTGGAACTGGATTAATGAAACAAAAAATGAAAGCACAATAAAAACGCGAATGGAGGTTAACTCCCCGCGGGACTGGGTTAAGTAAACAAATGAAAAATGAAAAAGGATCGAAGAAAGCCAAGAAAATTCGCGAGAATAATTCGCAGAAGCTCGGCTAGGGCGAAAGTTGAGGGTGCCGGAGGGTCGTTTTCCTTCGACGAGGAGATCAGAGGTGGGCCAGTCGCAATCGAGTCCAGA